ATAGATAGATAGATAGATAGATAGATAGATAGATAGATAGATAGAGATTATCTCGGAAAAAAAGATTAGATTACTTCAACAATATTAAAAATATGTTGACCTGATTTTCATCTCCTAACAGATTTGTTCAGGTTTTATTTTTGACTCTATTGTCATATCGTAGAATCTCACCTCCAATACTGTAATTGTATAGTAACGTGTATAAATCTAGATTTTCGTTTAGTTATTTTACTCTTAATCCCAAATTCTGCTGATTAAAGACGCTGATTTACCCCAATATTAATTCGACACGATAAATAGACAGCAGCCAGAGGAAACAGAAAATGATATATTGCTGGTTTTAAATAGTTATGGTCAAGTAAAACATTTGTTTACATGAACACCTTCAGTTTTATACTATCCACAACAAACTGTACATGGAGCTTTAATACATTACAGTACTTATTCCCTGCGATGGTGCAATAACTGAGTCACATTTGGGCATTTCTCTTCAAACAGTAACACAAAAGTACACAACAAATACATAAATAGCTTTTTGTTTCCCTTTAAATCAAACAAAATTAGATTTCTTGATTCTGGCTCTTGCTACAACATGTCAATGAAGGATATATAAATTAACATTAACAACACATAATATTAATTAGAGCAATAATAATATAAAAGCAGTTTTTTTTTCTCATATATGAATCTGGTTAGCTTACAGTATGCACTGATGGAATAGAGATCAGCCGGGCAGCTTGATATGATGCATTAGAAAGTTTCTCATTAATGCACAAATCCAAATACCCAGTGTTTCCGATTTCTGTCTTTGCTAGAAGGCGCCCCATCGTCTCAGAGACGAGTCCTCTGGTCCAAGCAGTTTCTCAAAGGCCACAAAGCATTAAGCTGAACGGTCCTCAGATGTGAGGTAAAAAAAAAATCCCCAGATGATGCCCTGAGTTTCCTCTTGAGAATTTGTTTTTCTTCAAAAAGTGTCACAGTACCTGGCATCAGAAGAGGCACGAAAACATCAGAGACTGCATGCTGAGAGTCAGTCTGTCCCTGTTGTTTGGTTCTCTCATGTTAAATCATTTCTCTGCAACATTATGGACCCTGAGTACCATTGTGCATTAGCTTGGTTGACTTGAACCCATCAGGGTCGTCTGTTAGTTGGCCCTCTTGTTTGGACTTTACGGATAGATGAGTTTCCCTAAATGAGTCCCCGCACCCAGTCAGAGGTAACAAGGGTCACCGTCCAGGGCAGGATGTGGGCTTGATGCAGCGTCCCTGGAACAACACCAGGTTGGCGGGGCAGTGGCAGCCAGCCACGCAGGGTTTATGACACGGGCCGATCTCATTCCAATTGTCGCAGGTTTTAATGCATCCGGGTCCACAGGTGTCGTAGACTGCATCGTGTTTACACTGGGTGGCTGGCAAAGTGGAAGAAGAAGTACAGAAATCAGATTTTTAACCAGGAAAACAAGAAGCAACATCTGAATTTATGAGATTAAAACTACTAAGCCTCATTTTCTTAGTATTTTAAGGAAAATGCTGATTTTTTTCTTTTTTTTGCAACTAAGTAGACAGAACATAAACCACATTGATCAATTCAACATTTGTTTGCAAATTTCAAACAGTTAAAACCCAAAAACTGTGTTTTAAAGTTATTTTGTTAACGTGTTTCTTCTGGCTGGAAATTACATTTGGAGTGGGCCTGCCGCAGCTAAATTAAGTCTGTGGTTTAGGTCTATGGCATCACCCTTATTCTTTTGTTCCCTCCACAGAGACTTCAAGCTTCACCACCAAAGAAAATCTTCAAACTGTAAGACTGTTAGGAATCCAGTTTGTGTGGGTTGTTTGTGTGTTTTTCTCCCTCCACCACCAGGTGGTGCCCTGTTCCTCGTTGGGCCTCCCTGCACACCTGCGGCTCGTTGGATCATTACTGGAGGAGTATTTGAGCAGTAGGCTATCACTACCTCGATGCCAGAGTGTTTGCCAGTATTGGGTACTCTAGCCAAACAGATTAGCAGAGTCTAACCTAAGCTTTGTTTCCGAGTCTTATCTAGTTTTTGTCTTTGCTTTTCGGCAGGAAGCCTTCCTGAGTAACTGGATACCTGGACCTTCTCCCCCTGGAAGGATTAACTGAGTACACATTGAGCAGGGGAAAACCTCCACATGAACCGTTCAAGTCCTCATCGTAAATCCAAGTGACAGTCCGCTCCTTTACTCCTCTGGGTCCAACGCTTGTCTATCTGTTCGCCCTCCAACGAGTTCCCTCATCTCTGGATTAACCCCCACAAGCTGGATTCAAGGATTGACAAGAGCCCCCTCAAACGTGAGTCCCGCTCCAGTAATATTCAAGCCACAGTCAACTCTGTGATCTCCCCTTCAGACTTTCGGTTTCTGGTTCACCAGTCCACTGAGTTCCAGATCCAACTTCTGTTATTCATCTACTTTTAATAAACCTTTTAAACTTTTTCCTTTGGTCTCTGAGTGGTTCTCTGCATGTGGGTCCGATCGCTTAAACCAATCATGACAAAGAATAGCAGATGTTTTCTTATTTTCTGCTCCCCAATAGCAAAAATCACCCCTCCTTTTGAATGGTTATCATATTTCACCTGTATTGGGACATGGAGTGCAATTTTTTTTCAAGATAGATCCAGCAGTTATTAGATCTGCTGGAAAAGAAGGCTTCTATTAATAAATGAATAATGAGGTCCTGATCTGATGTTGATGCCTGAAATTGGTCCAATCGCAGCCAAAAATCGAATATCAGGTTATATCAGCCTGCATCTAAAATCTCTCTGCTTTAATCTCGCTGATGGATGCACGCCGCTCCATCATTTAGTCTGCTCCAGCATTTCTATTTAGCATGGAGACGCTTGTTGTGCAAACAGAGAAAATGTGATCAAAACACTCTATCCTAAGACAGTTTCTTGCCTTTTAATTAATTATCCTAATCAATTGTAAAAATGTTTTTTTGGTTTAAAGTTTATGCAACTCATTGGAAAACAATAAATGTGTCGGGGTTTTTTTAACACTTATTGTAAATGTGTTTTCTTCTCTGCTTGAGTATTATCACATTATCAAACATTTTCTAATATTTCTAATTTCAAAATAATTAATAAAAATGTGTTTGATTTGTGTTGATATATCGGTTTCAGGCACAAGTCAAAGCTGCAGTTTGGGTATGCTATTGAAATAAAAAAGTTTTATCAGGAGACTCCTCAAAATTGTACATATTAAACAGTTTAGGAGCAGTAAAACTCCTAAAACTCCATCGTAGGACATGCACCCTTAACCCTATAGGGCACTCAGTAAAAAATTTCAAGCGAATTGTGTTACTGGAATCCAGGACAAGACCTTATTACCTTTGTGACATTCAAAAATGTTGATGGCAAAAATTTATTTTAATGTAATAACAAGAAACACCAACTTGCCTGAATATATTAAGAAAAATAACAGAAGTGCTTCGATAAGAAATTTATGAAAAACAATCTTAGAGTAAAAGAAAAGCATTTTTTTGGTACAACATAACCTTAGAGGCATTAAAGCTGATACTTGAAATTATTTCTTTTAGTTTATAAACCTAAATATAATTTTAACTTTTTAATTAGATTTTTTACCTTTTTTCAACTTAATTTACAGTAGGTAATATATCATTCATGGGTTTATCTAATTGTTTAAATGCTAAATTAAAATGTACAGGCATGTAGCAGTATCTTTTCTAAAAGGCTGGATATAGATCTTGTGCTTCTAGACCTCGCTGAGGGACGGGGGGGACTCCATTTGTAAGGGGTCTGCAGAAACGGTAATTTGCCCTAAAAAGGGATAAGATAAAATAAAAGCGGGTGGGGCAGATGATGAGCAAAAACACTAACCCATGCAGACGTTGTCAGCCTTCCAGAGTACAGGCACTCCTTCTCTCTCACAGGCTCGGCTGTAGGCAAGGAAAGACTCACAGTAGCAGTTTTTATGGACCGGGCACTCACACATGTCTGTCACACAGGACCTGGAAAAAAGTAGAATAATATTAAGTGTTGCGCAGCTTGATATAAATGGACATTTTTCAGAATATTGATTAAGATTTTTGTCAGATATTCTTGTAATTCAAAATTATACATTCAACCAAGATTCCTATAACTTAAAACACTTTGATAATTATGTCACTTTAATTTCTGACGAGTTGATTTAAAACACTTTTCTCAAACTAAGACATGCTTCATAGTTATGTCCTGAAATCAGAAAATAAATGTGCAAAAAAAATGGTAAAAAATCTCAGTTTCCAGATGCTTGAGCATCCTACATTTGCAAGGGAATGTGGTTAAAGCAGTGAACTTGTGTTCTGAGAAGGTTGCAAGTACCCGGTTCCTGAGCAAAACCCTTAACCCCTGATTGCTCCCCGGGCCCCACACAGTGGCAGCCCACTGCTACCAAGGGGGTGGGTCAAATGCAGAGAGTAAATTTCCCCATTGTGGGACAATAAAGGGATTTACATTTATTGATACAGTTATACACAAGCAAAGACAGAGTTCAGAAAAAGAACAAAACCCAGATCTGATAAAATGTCAATATTTAGTTTGAAACCAGGCATCCTTTTTGCAGCCTGATGTCGTTAAAGTTGAATTATTTTTCCATAATGAGACTCGTTACATTTAAAGGAAAATGGAGAACCTTGCCAGCCTGAGAAAACCATCAAAACTCAAAGCTTGAGGTGGCAGCAAAATGTTAGGCAGGAGGATTGCTGAACTTCTCAAACTACGCAGCATCACAAGGAAAGAACATTTTGTGGAAATATTGAAGCAACTTCTCAACGACATCAGCTCGAGTACAAAGAGTTCTTTCAAATGGATCCTGACTCTAATTTTAAGGTGGATCGGTTGAAACAGGCCCGTGAAAAGAAAAGTCCACCTTAACCCCAAAACAAACAGAAAATAAAAGAACACCAGTCCTTTTTAAACACCATATGTAAGTCTTGCTCCTACCTGTAGAAAGGGCCAAAATCGACCACACGATGGCACCTTTGAAACTCCCACGACTTTATCTTCTGACATTCTCTGTGCGCCCGGAGCTTAACTTTGACAGTGCCGGCGCACAGGTGAGACGTCGACCTGCGAGGTGGATGCTGATGGGCGCAAACGTCGTTTCCATCGACTCGCCACGACTCGGCGAACTCATCAGTGTCAAACTTTAACTGTCCGTCGCCCCCGATGGTGTCATCGCGCTTCTGACCATTGTAGTTCCCGCAGAGCCCACAGAGACGACCACGCAGGTGGGGAGCAGCAACAACTTCTACAAAACTGTCGCCATCCCATGTGATTTCCAGACCTGGAGGAAGAAAAGTGGTAAACAAAGTTTAGTGAATATGTAGACACATTTCCCAGGAATAACACAGAGAGTCTTAATGTGATCTGACCTGCGATGGTGGTGAGTTTCAGCAGGTACCCGTCCAGGTCAATGTGCACCCCAGGGCCGTGGTACGGCAGCGCAATGCGGGTTCCATTCCTACGAACCGTCAGGTGCTGATGTAGGCTGAGGCTCAAAGCACCAAGTCGAACCTCAACAAACTGAGTCCAGGAGAAGGAGTGAGTTCGCCGAGCATTGTTCTTCACCAAAACCTGGAAATAAGAACAACATTTAGCTACAACTAGTCTGAAAATAATCCAGAGCTTATATATTAGAGTTACTCTTTAACAAGCCTCTCTTTGAAACTAATATTTAAGCCAAAGATTCTGATGTGAAGATAAATTTATCAACCATACTGTCCTGTAAGTGAAACAATTGTTCACTGCTTTGGTTGAAAACTTGATCTAAAAATTGTGACCAATAAAATTAACATGTCGGCCTGGCAAAAATATGTATAGTTGTTTTATTATTATTTTGTCGCATGACAGCCTCAACCATATGATGTACGCTTAGAGATGCAGGGTTGGTTTCCTGCTAAAAGCTGTGTCACATTTTGCATTTTTCTACTTGCTTGTGGCAACTGGAACTCAAACTACTTATAACATCTTACTAATCATCAACAAAAAACAGATTGCTGGGAGGTGTTGACGGGTTCTCCTAAGATTTGGATCTTTGCAGTTCCTTTAATGTTTAACTGACTGACAGGCAAAACTATGAAAACATAGTTTTGCCTGGCAGTCAGTTTGTTGGACTTTTTATCTTGGTACGTCTGCAGTTTTGCCACATTTTTTTTATGTTTTCAGAGGATGGATTAAAAATTCCTCTGCATGATGCTTAAAGGTTGGAATATGGTTTTATAACCTAACCCTGCTTTAAACTTCTCATTGACCTTTAAAATATCTTTCTTAGTCCTTCCTGTGCTGTTTTTTTCTTCTTCTGCAACAAGCCTTCAAACAGCAATGTTAAAACTGGGATTAATTGATGAGCAAGTGAATTGTTTTAAACCGATGGCTTCTGAAAGCTGAATTAGGTTTTATTTAGCGGGAAAATATGGAGTTTGTCAGGTTGTGTGGAGGTTTTGAGGGCCCAAATGCAGAGAGGAGTAGGCACGGATGAAAATGGAGGATTTAATGAAAGTTCAAGGGGACCAGAGGCAAAAATAAAAAATAAAAAAATACTGAAAACCAAATAATAAACATCTAGGAAAAAAACTTGAGGAAAGCAAGAGACTAGAAAACATTAAAACAACATCAACAACACGAGCTCTGCTGCTCTATTAAGCCCAGCACTCTGATGACAAAGATGATTTTCACCTGTGTAGGCTACCAAGGTTCTCCACAAAGATCCTCTCTGGAAGTGATGCATAACTCGCACTCACTCACACACAGGGACCATGACAGAGTTATTTCTGTGTTTTTATTAAATTCAAGAAAAAAAGAAAACTGAAAGGGGAAAAAATTTTGAAATTAAAATAAATATACTGGAAAAAACACTGATAGGAAAACCTGATGTTATTTGAGACTGAAGAAAATATTTTGACATAGAGTAAAGAAAAGGTAAATTGACATTTACAAGGGAAAAAGCAGCTCTTAAAAAAACATTTTGGTTTCAAATACTTTTTTTTTTTTTGCGACTGGAGTGAAAACATTTTCTCTCAAAATAGATTTCTCTCTCAAAATGTTTCTCCTCTTCTCTTTGCTCTTGATTCAGGATTTTTCTCTCGATGTGAAAGCTGTGTCATGGCTAGGCCAGTGTTCCTATTGGTCAATCTCAGCAGCATTGACGGCTAAGTGATGATATTAGGCGGTTCTGCCTCCATCGTTAATACTCATGAGGAAACTCTCGTTTGCCCAGACTGCCTCGCTCCACCAGCAGGCGTGTTTGAGATGAACAGCACCTCGTCTGGGATGCGGACAAGAGCTTATGGCTGATTTGTGTTTCTAAGTGTTTAAATGTTTATTTTCTACCAATAAGTGGCGTAACACAAACGCGCTGCCAGCCATCTTGTTCAATTGCAGACAGCTCTCTGTCCAACTTCAGAATAGACTTTTATCATCAGCAGAAAAGTAAACTCTTGTCTACATTCCGATGCTCACCTCGAACGCAACTAATATCACCACTCAGATGACAATTCTGTTGAGACTGTCCAATAGGAACACAGGCCCGCCATGACACATCTATTACATTGAGAGAAAAAATCTGACTAGAGAGCAAAGACTTTTGAAAGAGAAATCTATTTTTGAGAGAAAATAATTTTATTCTGATTGCAAAAAAACTATATTTGAGAGTAAAAATCTACTTTTGAGAGAGTTTGGGTCTTTTTCATCAGTCTCTAATAGTATCAGTGTGATTTTTTTTCCTCTCCAATATATTTATTTTACTTTCAAAATGATTTTCCACTTTCAGATCATTTTCTTCAAGAATTTATAAAAACACAAAAAAAGACTCCAAAGGAGAAGGAATAATATTCAGACTAGTTAGAATATCCAAATAACTAAAATATAATTTTAATCATAAAAAATGTCCATCCACAGTAAAAAGAGTTTTCATCAAGGGCTACTGTGAGTTTCCTCTTCATCTCTTTTACCTCTTACTGGATTTGAGTCGATTCCCACACCCTCTATCTACTGGTTTTGGTCACCTACCGTGAAGCTGGATTCCGGGTTGATGATGCCGTTTCCAGGCGTTCCAGCTTGGTTCCCGCCACATTCACGCGTCAGCACGTACTGACAAGTTCCCTGAAAGTTAAAGGTCCGGCCATCAAAGGTGTTGTAGTGAGGATCACCAAAGACCGTGCACACTCCAGGTTCTGCAAAGAGAACGAGAAAAAATGCTGAAAGAAACCTTAAAAAAATAAGCATTACAGAAAACTTTATGCTGTTTATATGTCAATGACTATAAATAACTGCAGTGGAAGACCATCAGAACGTAACAAGCTGTAAAGCAAATGTATCCGAAAGCTGAAATCCAAACTCTGAAAAAATAATTTATGAGAAATACTGAATATGTGGCTCTGATCTGCTTTGCTCAGAAGTGAAACCAACATCTGTGGTGTGGTAAAATGTCTGCCCTACCCAAATAAAACTAGATTTTATTTTATGTATAAATGAGGTTTCGAGGGTATTTGTATTCCTGAAATAGAACATGCTAGGGGATTTCTGCTGAAGAAAAATGACCTGAGGATAAACCACAGTCTGGACTGAAGTACATGAGGAACATTTAACCAGAGCTGCTGAGGCTGAGGTTTGCTTTCAGAAGTAGAGAATTAGACTAAGAAATACCAGTTTATATACTTTAGTAGTGCTTTAAAGTGAAAAAAAGGCACAAATAAAACTAAAACTATATAAAATAGACTAGTTTTAATGTGTTTTGACTATTTTTTACTCTTATGAGGAATAATATAAGAAAGCTAATATTATCAGATACTCCAATGAGTTGGACTTACTTACTTTCAGTGCAAACAGGGCAACATCCGGTTCTGTTCAGGATCTTATTCTGAAAAGAATGGTGAAGGCCAACAATATTAGAGGATCCATAGTTAAAACTGGATAATAAAGAAAAACATCAGGATGTCTGACCAAAAGTGATTAAAATAGCAACAGATTCACTTAGTAAAAGAACTGGACATTTTTACCCTTATTGGCTGATTACCAATCAGAGCAAGTTAAGGAAAACATTTCTGATTCCAATCTGTGGTTGTGTGATGCGTCTCTGTTCGTATCTTTATCAATGCAAAAACGATCTAGAAATAAGTAAAAATTTCTTAAATTAAGTGTATTCACCCTTAATTTGAGTATAAATGAGATAGTTTGCCAATGGAATGAGTAATTTTGCTCTTAAAATAGGATAATTAAATAATATGCACTTGAAATAAGACAATGCAATAGTGTTTTCTTATTTTAAGTGTAAATTGTCTTGTTTCTTTTGGCAAAATGTCTCTTTTACCTCCTCAATTCAAGAACAAATGAACTTATTTTAAGAAAAAATGACTTATCTAGATTCAGATTTTTTGCAGTGCAATAAATCAAATAGTGACTCCCTGTTATCTGTTTAATAATATTCTGAGGTGAATCTAACAGATTTTTATCACTTTTGATTTTATAACATTTATTCTTTTCAGAGCAGCTGGAAAAGCTACATGTAAACATCTAATTGACAAAAAAATATATAAAATCTTGATATAAAAATAGATATTTAATAAAAACATGGATCATGTTTTTCTAAAATTGAAGATGGCAGATGTGTCAAAAATATATGTGTATAACTCAAGTATCAGTAGAAATACTACAATTTAAATACACTTTTGTCGAAGTTAGAGTATCAACGTCAGTTTTTACTGAAGTAAAAGTACCATTTTTAAAACTGCTTGAAGTATAAAAGTAAAATGGGTGAAGGAAATTTGTTAAGGACAGATGCTTTACTGCACTACCCTATTAAAGGAACATTTTTCTACATTTATGACTGATAACTTCCTTAGACTTAAGTTTCTTAGATTTATAACTAATGGTAAAAGTGTCAATTTTAACTTTGCATCATGTCATAAAACGATTTACTTTACAAAGAAATTAACTGTCTGGATTAAGCAAATTATTTTGATGGTTTTTATCTTTTCAAATACAAACAGGCCATAAAGAAAATGAGCTTAAATGAGTCTATTTTTAAAATGTAAGGAGTAGAAGTAAAAAGTTGCCTAAAAAAACCTTTAAGTAAGGAAAAAAAGTATTTTTACTTTCTTACTTGACACTTGTGGTACTTAGTTCAGTAAATTTAAAAATGTATAGCTTATATGTCAACTAGTTTGAAAGATGTACACGCTGAGAAATGGTTCATGAATAATTCAATGTATAGTCAACTCAGGACCCCACAAAGGTACAAACATTTCAGTGGCGAGTATGAAACTTTATTTGTGTAACAGAAACCACTGGATCCAGACTGTACCAGGCCAGTGAATGCATATGTAAAGGTGTGTGTGTGTGTGTGTGTGTGTGTGTGTGTGTGTGTGTGTGTTGGCGTATCCAGTATGTTTCAACCTTCATCAGAGGAGCAGATCAGAGGAGCCTTTTACACACCGAGTTCTTGTGGCCTGAGGGAAGCCCTTCATTTGGACCTCCTTCTAAATAAGGACCCTCACTGATGTAATGTTTTTCTAAACCTTTATTTTGAAACCCGAACAGTAACCCTGGGGTTTACCTCAACTATCCTTTGAAAGTCTGGAAAGGCCAACTCTACAGTACCTTTCCTGCCCTGTCTTTTTCACGCGCACGCCACTCGTCTGTCATCGCACGCAGACCTTCTCTGTACTCTCGACATGCGCTTCAGCTCTAACTTCCACACAAAGGCCACTCAGTCTTTGAAGAGCGGCCACACACACACTCACAGAGGAACACACACTCCCTTTCAAAGCGCACACACAGTGACAGAGATTAGTTTTCAAGGGCCTAAATATAGGGAACCTCTTCTCCGCTGTCACTCAATCGAATACGGACAAAAGGCTGCTCGGAGACACGCTGTCTCCAAAGGCGACCCAGACACTCCGCTGACCTGCCGCTGACCGCAGGAGGACAGCATGGCAGAGATTGTGTGTGACCATGTGAGCTCAGAGAGGGTGCTGTGGGCTGTGGTGACCTCTGTGTCAGTCAGGAGTCACAGTTGTGCACAGCAAGGACAGCTGGAGCAGCATGGGAGCTATAAGCTTCCTGATTACTGTCACCAATTCGTCCAAAGCTGTTATTTTTCTTATGGCTTAATCAATTGAAGCTCTCAGTTCTCTTGGTTCCAGTTTTTTTTTTTAGAGCGACTATTTCTGAGATGTTTAGAAAGTGTGGATTCATAGAAAGGAGAGGTTAAGCAGACAGTGTATCAGATTTCATCCCTTGAAATCAGCACTGATTGTAAATCAATTTTCCCTGATTCAAGCCATCAGCAGCTCAATTATGCCGTCATGGCTGTTCCTTCTCATGTTTGAATCTATTTTCCCTTCGTTATATACCCTTTACTCTCTTTAAAAAAATAAAAGCATTTACACCTTCAGGAGTTTTAAAGAGCGGTGTGAAAATGCAACAAAATTGTCTTCAGTTTTATCCAATCAAAAGTTTCACCGCTTTTTGAATGCAAATTTAATTATTCCTTTTTTGAGTTTCACTGAGGGATCAACCACTGACTTAACTTGGCTGACTGAAGCTTAAAAAACCTACTCTGATCAATGAAGTGCAGACATTACATAAGCATAGCCACATTTAAATACTGTATGTGTTCAACCTTTGCTATATTCTACTTTTGTAATTTTGTCACAGGACATTTTATTCAGTAATTAACACCAGGGTTGACAATTCGTGTGTTTTTCTATAACAAATGGATGTAATTTCATGTAGGATTTTAGCATTTTACTGAATATTAATGTCTGTAATTAATGGACACATTTAACTAGAAGAAAAAGTAAACAGATATCCAATGGTTCAAGTTCCTGGGTAAGAAATAGGGTAACACTTTCTTTTACAGTACAACAATAACCATGTAATAACATAGTAAGTCACACTATAGTACTTGGTAACAAGAACAGCTATTTTTTGGGTAATTATCCCAAGATTAAGGTATATAATTTCAAAATAATAACCTGCATATAATTATTACAATTGTATGTTACTATGTAACAATGGAGACTTTTGGTGGATAATTACCATTAGGTTACCAAATAAAAGTTCACAACGGCTCACAAAGTAAATGTGAACTTATGATCAGGTAAATAAAGCATTATAAAACTGAAAACAAGTTACATATAAATAAGTGTTTAGTTAAGAAGATTGCCTTGCTGTCTTCTAGGTTTGATTTTTTGTTATATACCAAGTAATAAACTACATTTTACAAGAAAATAACACATTTATGGCTGTCTGTGAAATGAATATGAGTTACCTAGTAATTAATAACAGTTTAAAATCTAAGAAGTCTGACTTTACTTTGACTAAAAATTTAAGCACAGCACTTACCAAAATTCTCCATAAAGTTTTTTCTTTTTATCTAGTAATATAATGTAACTTGCTATGTTATTACCCTTTTATTACATGGTTAGCGATGTACTGTTAAAGAAAGTATGGGTGATATCAGGGTGGCTGGGGTATAATTTGATGTCTGAAATAAAATTTCTAACTTTCCAAAGCTGGTATATTCACATTCTGAATGATAAATACAAAATAATCAGTAAAAGAAAAATTACAAATATATAAATAGATAATAACTAAGTTATCTGAAGCAAAACTATTTCAACCTCATAAATATCTCCTTTAATCTGACTTAACAAATGATTTCCACTAGAGAGAAATGACAACATAGACCACCTACATCATTCTACAGTGTTCTGCTCTGACCGCGAACAACAGGTGACGGCTTGTTGTAACCACTGGAAGCGTGTGAACTTGGACTAACGCTGACACTGGCTCTGACTGCATGACCAGCACCGGTCGGCAGTATGTGAGGAATCCACTCCATCACCCACCGACCGACAGTTGACTTCGGAGCGACCTCTGCGACAGGTGAATGCTGCACCAACCTTTCTCCTCCAAAGCAGTTCTCAGTTTTAAACTCAGCATGTCGCTGCCATTCAAACGACAAAGGAAACGAACATCTATATTCTTGAAAACTATGGTTAATTTCAAGCATTGAACTGACTTACACTTAACTGTCTAAGCTCAGGGAATCTGAGATTTTATCCAATTAAATGTTATTTTTGTTCAAATCCACATTAAATGTTTGCAGAATATTGATGGTTTATTAAAATGGAAGATATGCGTTATTGTTCTGTATATATTGAGACATATTTGTATCTAAAAATGACAGGAAGTCATGGACCATACCTCGTACACTACCTGTTAGATATGCAGGTTGTTTAAAAAGGACATAAAGACTGGAAGACAGAGTCATTTCACAGATGTAGCAAAAGTGAGCTTCCTTCACTCACCGAGGGGCAGCTGGTGATTGGCACGCACTGTTTGGGCCGACACTCAATAGAGCCTTTAACGCAGGCACAAAGAGTACAGTTCACTGACGACCACATGTCCCCTTCCTATAGACATAACAGGGTCACAACATTAGCGCACAGATACAGTTAATATACCCTTAACATTCCTACAGCATGTTATAAGCTCTACATCTGAATTCCTGCATCAGCTTTCTCACAAATATTAAAGCACAACTCGCAGAACCCATAATTAAAAGGTTAAGAGACAAAAAAATAATTTTCTGCCTAAACTTTTGGCATTAAATTAGTATTAAAGGTATAGTGGAGGATGTTCTTTTTCCAGGTGGATCATCTAAATAAGTGGTCCTCCTAATTGTCAATCATTCCGTAAGGCCCTCCTACATGCTTGTCCCCATTTTCACTTACTGGTGGTGAGTCTGACATAGTGGAAAAATTGCAAATCTTCTTTTGGTAAGTAAGCTTGTGTGAGTGATGCAAACAGCAACTTGTAAAAGGAGCTTGCACAAGGAGAAATGGGCTTGTGCACGCTCTCGCACGTGTTTAATAGGTGTTCCCTCTCGGAGGCGGGCGCAGGGTTGTGCATGTGCATTTTTCAGTGGAGAGTGCAGGTCTTTTCAAAAATTTGCAAAAATTTGCAAAAATCCTCCACTATACCTATAATATTCTAATTCTAATGCCTGAAAGGTTTTAAAATGCTGCTTTTCTAAATTGCTGAAGCACCCAGTTGTGACTTATTAGATTAGATTAGATGAGCTTTATTGATCTCACAGCAGAGAAATTCACGGGTCACATATTGGCATAGTAATTAATGAAGGTGCAAACAAGGAGGAAAAAGGTGCATTAAGAATAAACAAGCAAGCACTGTATATACAGTATATCAAGATAAGAATAAGAATTAAGGTGTCAGGGTACATGTATCACACACAATGAAAAATAAATAAAAAAATAAGAAATAAAAAATCACTAACGGTTGCTTGTGTTTAAACATTTCCATTTTTAACGTTTGTAACAGTGCAAAAACTGTATCTAACATCCTAAAAATAATAAAAAAAAACAGTTTTTTTCTGCACCTTGGCGTAGATGCTATACTGATCAGCCACCACAAGGGGAGCTCTAAAATCAATTATCATTCACCATCCTGCCCCTGTATTAATGTACCCATCCCATCTAAGCACCCACTGTCTATTCCTGACTGTATAAAAAAAAAAATCCCAATCAACCGATCAATAATCCATTCATACTTGTCCTCACCCTGTAGATTTTATTCCGTACTCTGCAGTACTTCACCTCCTCCACCTTCACATGAGACAGACATTCGTCACAGCACTGACTGCCCTGGCAGCTGCCTGGACGTGAGCACCGCTTTTTGCACACCACCGTTGAATCCTTGAGGACGAGAATCAGATTAGAGTTAATCACAGCTGATAACAGATGTTTACGTACACAGTTGTAGATCTCTGTCTCCTCACTGTCTGACACTGAATCAGATTAAAACTGTACAGTCAGATCATTACTACTTAATGAAATGTATATTTTCTCTTTTAGGGAATATTTGCTTTACTTTCTTCAAAATATGCTAAATTTTGTGTAGAGAAAAGATAAAAGGAATGATACTTTTTTATTAAGAAAATTTAATCTGCAGTAAAGTACCTTGCATGTGCAGGCGGTGCAGTTGTCGAGCATAAAGGAGGTACCGTTCTCATAGACATCACTGTGGAAAAGACAACTTCCAAAAGACAGATCAAACACCTTCCTCTGACCTAGAGGAGAAACAGAATCACAAGTAGGAAACAGTAAAAATAAAGAGGTATCAATTAATCCAAAGCCTGAAGTTTAAATCTAGATGATTTAAAGGGGCCTGAAGCCCAGTTTTTACCTATACACCTGGGACAGCACTGTCCAGGAGGAGTTTGGCTCAGATGAGCGGGGCATGAAAGCACAGGACACACCTCCTTCATGCAGAGAGTTCGCCCTCCCTAAAAACAACAACACATCCTAATCACCAATACGCATTACATTGGAAAAACAATCTAGAAATAAATAAAAAATGTCTTAAATCAAGTGTATTTACCCTTAATTTGAGTAGGTAAATGAGATAGTTTACCAATGGAATTAGTATTTTTACTCTTAAAATAAGATAATTAGATACAATGCACTTGAAATAACGCCATGCAATTGTGTTTTTTTTAATTTTAAATGTAAATTGTCTTGTTCCATTCGCAAAATGTCTCTTTTACCTCCTCAATCCAAAAACAAATTCAAAATGACTTATCTAGATATCATTTTTTTCCAGTGTATAAGTTTACATGTCTAACATGTAACATGCAACATGAATTTTTTTTTTTTTTTATTTTTTTTACTGTTTAACTAACAATAAACAACATTTTATTTTGCTGGGGAAGGCTCTCAGTCATCCAGATCATAGTCATTCCAAAAAAGAAAAAAAAAAACCAATCCACTGGACTTTGTTTCCAAGTTTGAAGACGTTTCGCTTCCCATCCAGAAAGCTTTTTCAATTCAAAATGTCAGGAATAGGGTTGAGTTCGAGATTTTATACAGTAGCCCAACAAAAGCTTGTTTTTGTCTTTAAAACATGCAAATTGGAACAGGGCTCCACTCATTTGGAATGGGGGCCGTTTGGCTTCTTTTGTAGCCCAAAAGAAAAGCATTTTATTTTCACAATATCAACAATATTTTCTAATTGATGAAGAATTTGGATCTAAATCATATGAAAAATGGCTTTTCTCAAAGGCTTTATTTTTATAAAGATCTTTTGAATAATTGATCTGTACTGTATATAGAACTAATCTTCCCTCTATTACATTTGCTGAACTTCAGTAAGTTTAATGGATGGACGTAACTTGGATGCTTTTAAGTAAAACATGCTTTATTTCTATGGTCCTGCTCACTAATTGAACTTTATTGATCTGTCATTTGAGAAATCTACCTCTGCATTTAACCCATTGCCTTGCGAAGCAGTGGGCTGCCATCGCGCGGCACCCGGGGAGCAGTGTGAGGTTAAGGGTCTTGCTCAGAGACCCAGAGTGGCAGTCTGTGGGAGTGGGAATCAAACTCAGAACCTCAGGATTCCAAGCTCTATAGCCTAACCACTAGGCTGCCACCCCCCCCATCACCGCTAGTAGTACTAGTAATCTAAAATACTAGCAACCTAAAATAAAAGCAAAATGTGTGGCTATTAAAACACAAATATTTTTGTGTAAAAAACCAAACATATTTTAAGAACATTTTAATTTGAGGCTAAAAATCTTCTTCTACAGTGGTTCAAGGGCCACAAATGACAACCAGGCCATGCTTTGGACTTTATTATTATTATTTTTATTAATTAATGTCTGTTTATCAAAGAGAAATAGAAATATAGTAAAGGTAACATCTTTCTATGATCACTGATGAAACCATAGGACAGAATTTTAAACGAAAGACAGAAAAAAACATTCAGTGTCAGAAGGAGTTTGGTTAAATTGGTAAACAAACAGGGAAAGTTGGACAACAGGTTTGTGTTAAAACAAAAACTGCAGGGTTTCCTTATTGGGTGTCAGGACATTAATACTTTAATGTGTTTATGGACCTGCCTGCAGGGTTTGTTTATTTAAGGGGAGATGGAGAGGGGAGGCAAAAACATAGAAGGAAAGAAGGGGAAAAGCAAGGAGGAGGATGTTGTTCCAACCAGAAATTTGTGATTCCTTAGAGACTCCAAAACTAACTCATTTGCAGGACAGGGATCCTGCTGGAAAGGTGAATGTGAAGCGTATGTGTACTCACTGTGCATGTGCACTTGATGCAGGGTTTCCCTTCAGGGCTGAACTCCTCTTTCTCTTTATAAAGGCGGCCCTCAAAGATGCAACCTGCAGAAGTTTAGGCACCAGAAATATTTTCAGTTTCGACTTTTAAAGCATGTCTTTTGAACTGGTAAAAAAATTTCAAGTATTTCCAAACCATTAAAGCCATCGCTACTAAAACTTTTTGCAAGAACCAGCTGAAAAGATAGAAACTCGTTTGACTTGAACGTATCTTTAACAGTAATATCAATGTCTAAATAATAATTGAAAATACTACAACAAAAAGGTTATGTAGTAACAAGAATCTAAGTAGACAAAATGTAGTTCTTTTTAAATAAATAAACTAGCCTTAAGCGAGTTCTGAATTAAAAAGAGACTGAAAACCTGTAAACTTAATCAAAAATCTGAATATAGAAAATTTTATTTCAGTTTCCTATTCTACATGTAGAACATGATTATTCTGTAAATGAATCAAAGTAAAATAACCAATAATTTTTCTAACACTAATACTCACTGGGGCAGGTTGGGCAGCACTTTTTCGGATGGTGTTTTGGGTTCTTGCAGTGAATGACACACTGCACCTCTGCCTCTGTGATCACACCTTCCTGAACAAGAAGCAAACTCAGTGTTACATGTAAATAAAAAAAAAAACATCCTTACACTCTTTTTGAATCACATAATTTTAATTTTATTTCTCTTTATCCTATAATAATTAGGGATGCACAATATTGGTATTTTAGCCGATATGCCGATATTTTAA